AGCCAAAAAAGAATGAAGCGAGCGAGTGGTGATTAGACGGTCCCCAGAATGAACGAAGCGGACGGAGAAAGTTTCTTGGACTAATAACCCCGGACGGTAAACACTGGCTAGGCAGGGTAGGTTGGCAACGGTAGGGCAAAAGAAAGCTAAGTCTCGTCTCTTCAAGGCTCGTCGTGGGCTAGGAACGGTCGAGGGTAAGGCGTGCCTGCGTGACTGCGGGCTGTGACAAGACGCGACTCTCTGGTGTCAGGGGTTTGTGTTGAGCTTGGCCACAGCGTAAGGCACTGGCAAGGTACCTAGGTGAAAGAAAGAGTCCGGTGCGGTGTGTGACGGGAGTGTGTGGTCGCCTGGCGGTCTCTGGCACCAAGATCCTCGTCCCGGTTGCGTCAGTGGAGATGTGTGGAAAGGCCGAGGGCGAATCTCTGACGAGGGAAAGTCTCCAGCGGGCAAATTGGGGGTCCAATCGAGTGGCTCGCGACTTGCCAGGAAGGGACGGTTTAAATTGAACGTCGCGTCTTCTCCGAAGGTGGGGTGCGTCGAGGGTGCCTGTTGCGTGCAAAGGAAAGGAGAGGGGAAGGTGGGACGTAGGATGCGGGACGCGGGACCTTGGAGCTTGCTGCTTCAAGTGTGAGTCTGGAGGCTGGAGCTGGAGGGATACGATGGAACGTGTGAAACGGAAGCCGTTATCTTCGATTGTGTGTGATTGCCTTTTTTTCTTTTCGGAATTCGGAGAGATATTACAAAACGGCTGGTTGGCTCTTCTCGAGTTCAAAAAGAAACGCAGCACCTCGGACAGGTACGACCGTATGGCCTACTATAAAGAATAACGGAACAAGTTGGTTTCCACAACTGGACCTGAAGGTGGGTAGCTAGCGTAGGTACCCGAAAGAACGATTGGCATATCAGCAGCTTCTCCAACTTCATGTGTTCCTCACTAAGGTACATACACTAGGGCAGAGGGGATCGCCGACTACTCGTTCCGCCACAAACTCGTCAGGATGCGCTAAGTGCGAAGTAAATGACCGCTGAATCTCAGCCAGACATTCTCAAAGGGAACTCATGAACATCGACTCAGCAACGCGCAAATGGCCAAGCTGCGTAAAGATGCCCAGAACGAGCTCAACCTTTATCCTAGCCATATGATAAAGCTGCCCTAGGCATGAGAAACATCAGCCCTCCTGCATCGCAAGCAGCTCATTATCCCATCCCTCTACCTTGTTGCAAGTCGGATTCCCGTGGTGATGACATTTTCAGGGGCACAAATCATAAATAATGTCCAGCTGGCAGCAGCTCGTCCGGCCAACAAAGCACAAGTGGATAATCTCATTCCGCCAAAAGCCTCCGTGTTTCCCGATATCGAGATGAACCAGACCAACAAACCCCCCTCTTTCTTCGTCAATCCCAAACACGGGCTCCCTCCCGCATCGCTATCAACTTCCTCGCTGGTTGGTCGGCAAATATACTGAGGATTTCCCACCCAGAATGCACGAAAATGATGGGTGCTCTCCAAGGAGCGCAGAAAGACAAGTTGCGAGAGAAACAGGACTAAGCATGGCTGTTAATTATCGCGCAACCTCAGCCACATGGCGCCAAGGGCCATACATTTCTGCTTCTTGCCCTATCCGTGTCGCGGCTCGGCCATTCCCGCCAGACTCTAGACCATTGCCCCATGCTTGACCCTGTCCCGCAGAAGCTCTATTCGTCTGCTGGCCGACCTTTTGTCAGTGTCTCAACATCTTGATTCTCCGAGCAAGTGGATCGATAGGTTCCGAAGAGACATTCTGCAAGTTCGCTGCGGCCTCGGAATATGAAAGATATATGCTGCATTGAAAAGTCTTAGGTGAAGTAGTGCCTGCCTGTGTCTTGCCCTCACCCTTGTTCTTCTGCTTCTGTGCTCTCAAGCATGGTATGTTAGGTATGCTGAGTGCAAAACTCTCCATTTCCGCATCTCTGTCATTTTCCATTCTGGCCCCCTGGTGATTCCGGTAATGCAAGTAATATGCAAGCCATCGCGTCAGACAACTCTATGTCAGCTTGAGGGGCTAACCTCTCCACTCACGACTCCTCTCCCAAAATAATCAATGGCGTTGTGCTCAACCTCATCCGTGATCTGTACCAATGCGTATATAAATGAGGAGCACAAAACCTGTGCAGGCAGAAATGGGTATGACGTGCATCCAAGTTTCTCAGGAAATTGGGCGAGAGACATTCATCCAACCTATTGCCGTTAATAGAACTGCCAGTACCTTGCATAAGCCCGACGTCTTAATATGCAGCATGCTATGCAGCACTAGCCGTTGGTGTCGCGGCTCAATCCGACAACACTTGTCCCGAAATGTGTGAGTCTTTGTTAGATTCTGTTAGATTCTGTTACCTGACGTAGTATCAGCGTATCAACGGCTATGCCTGTTGGACTGGCACATGTGAGAAACATCAGGCGCCGAACGGTTCGTGCTGCTGGTTCTTGAAACGCAACGTGTGCATATGAAATACCGATCAGTCAACTGTGGTTGATGCAACAGCCCTTGCCCAAGCCGAGAAGTAAGAAGGACATGTCCGGGTCTCTGGAACTGTGCGCGAAGCGTCGAGGCCCTACGGCCCACGGCTCCCGATCCGCTGGCCCACGACGCAGGGTCCCCCCGGCTCATCCAATCTTCCACGGGCTTCCGAAGAGCCAGGACTCCCGGCCAGCTAGCGGGTGACCAGTCCAGAACGGGGAACGAGGTCTGCCGCTGCGGTCAGGGTCGGCGGAGAGGAGAGGACATCAGCTGCCACAAGTGGTGATACCACTGCAACGTCGTAACTTGCGGAAATATGGTCAAGGCTCTCTAATAAGAGCTGTCTCGAGCAACGTGGTGGTCCACTCGGGGATTGCAAGGGCACTAATGTTAGACCCTAAGAGCAATAAACTCTTGGTTCGTGAGCGACATGGGGCATGGTCGCCGGTCGATACGTTGACGGTTGAACAATCACTACTCTGTTGACAATTTGTTCGAGATTGTGCATTTGGTGGCGGCAATCTAGAGACGAGTACCTTGAAATCCATCTTTTGAGACGTTCATTCGTTGTCTGAGCATAAAACGACATGATGAACAGCTATGTCCGAAGTTAGCTTGTGGTAGTAAAGGCTAATGCCACCACCTTGCTCCCGTACAAAGGGAAAACATGTCTCGACGAATGCTTCAATAGATGCGGGCGTCTTTTGTGTCAAAGACGATGATTGTTGAATATGGCGAAACTTTTCGGAGGAAATCAACAAGGACATGTGCAAGGAGTCGAAGGATGTTTCATCGTCCGGGGGCCAAGGAGCGAGCGTCGAGAACGACTGGGCAGATAAGTAAGCTTGGGCCGATGTAACTGTGGTCGAGGAACAGACGGTGTTAGTCGTCAAGTGTTGACGATGGCGACGCACAAAGATATATGTATTCAATGGCTGCATGTTATGTCTGTGAGACAGCTTGCTGTGATGTGTCGTACTGGTAGAAGGAGGCCGCAGATGGGCGTTGTAGCTCATGCTTGAGTCAAGTCTCGTCTTGTCACAATCAGTCTGTGGCTCCATGCTCTATTGAGTTCTCCGTGTAACATTGACGATGGGTCACGGAGTCGAGGTAAGGTTAGAGAGATGAGGGAAAGGCTCAGCTCCAGAATAAGGTAGAGGCTAGCTTGATGTAGCTTGCGCAGCTTCGTGCAAATCAATAAAGTATCACAATTTACGGGACGCCGTTGATGAAGGGATAAGAAAACGAGCCCGCCGCGTCTTGTGCAAATCGCCCAGGTCCTCATCGCCTTCCTTCCCGAATTCCTAAATCGTTCCCCTCCAACCCCCCCCCCCCCCGATTCGAGTTCATTCTCGGAAGGCACTCGTTTCCCTTCCCTTCCTTCCTTTTTCCCTTCTTCCCTTCTTTCCTTCTTTCTGGCCAGTGCTTTCTTTCCATACCTTATTCCACCTCATCTTGACTAATACGAATACTCCGCCAGAGGTAACACTCCGGAGAACGTTTTTGACTTTCGTCGTCGCTCCCTCACACACTGTTTCTAGCATTCCTGCTGCCCAATCCCTCTCGTCTTCTTCTTCTGCTTCTTCCATTCCTTTTGTCCCTTCTGCCTCATTCACCCAGTCGACCCGGGCGCCTTACTACAAGACACGACGCCTTTGAATTCATCGCTTCGTCCCTCCTCGATCGCTCTTGGAGATTCCTCGCCTACATTAGTCCTACTCCTACTTGCGCCGGAGCAAGGACCAACCCAGCATAATCGCATGCGACCGATCCGAGCAAAGAACGAACGCCAATTAAGCCAGAGACTGAATTGACATCCTGCTGGTCTCCAAACTCCCGAGGTCTTGCGAGACCCGTCCATCTCCCATACGTACCTCTCACCCTTACCTTTCCGATGCCGCGCTAGGCAATCCATTCAAATCTTTGGCGCTTTGTTGGACGAATTGCCTCTGCATCCCAGCCCAATCGCGTGGACGCCCAACAAAGAACCACACCAGTACCGACCGGCGTCTGCACTCCCATACCTAATACTGCGGCGTATGTCTTTTGCCTCCAACAACGATTACATTCCCTTCGCCGGCTCCCCCAGACTCCCTGGTCGCTGAATGCTGCGGCGTACCCCACCGACTAAGGCACTGACAACAGTGCGCTTGACGAGCTCGCCCAGGCATCCAGCAATCCCAGCATTCCAGCGCCGCTCATCGATCCTCCTCATTCGACAACCCGCAGATGACCCAACTGAACCCGGCGAGGATCAGTCTGCTAGACCCAGTTATCACTCGAGCTCAGGACCACCGGACCCAGCCTATCCACGAGCCAGCTCAGTCGTACTCTCATTGTCATCCGTCTCCGACTGGCCACGTACCGTACTGCAGCAGAATTAACTGCAAGAGGCGATTGTCTCTACAGAGGCGCGCGGGGCCTGCGTTAGAATCAAGGACAGAAAACCGCGAAAGGGCTGTCACGTCAATTGAAGGTTTGCCCACAAAACACTAAGAACAAATGTCAGCCACGGAAGGATCGGTTGCAGAGGCAGAGGCCAGCTGCAACAACACAAATACAACTGCTTGTGCCGTTGTCCCCTCTGGAGACTCGTGTTCCAGCCACCAACCACAGCGCCTGCTGCACGCGGAGGACCAGGCGCAGGCCCAGGAAGCCACTACTACGGCAGACCACTTGACCCTTGGCTTCTCTGACGTCTCCAGCCCGCAACTTTTCCAGCTAAACCCGCAGCCCCAGGTTGTAAACAACAACATCATCGACACCACCGAAAACAAACCGTCCTCACGACCGACAAATGATAACACAGTAACTTCAAAATCCACAAACACCACACCAGCAGGCTCCCCTACAACGAATAAGGCAAAACAAACTCGCAAACCCTCACCCAATCTCGCCGCCCGATTGAAAGCGCTCGGCTTTACCTCGCACAAGAAGTCAACAGACCAACCACTTCAACAAGACCAAGTTGGGCGCCTGCCTGAAGACCAGATTCGCTTGATAGACGAGAACCATAAGGCGAGTTCCGTCGAATCGAAGATCAATCGACGCGGTCGCCCTTGGAAGGGCTTTACATCGTCCGACGACCCGAGACCACAGACTGCATCTTCTACTGCTTCGAGAGAAGACCCCAACACTTGGATATTGTCATCCTCGCCAGACGTTGCCCCGGGCGCGTCTCTTGTCCTACCCGAGATCATAACAACGGCGCCCTTGGACATGGAGACACACAAATACCGTCTGCCTGACCACACCAATGGGAACGGTACCAAGGTACAACTTGAGACTAGACGAGAGCATCTCGAACGCAATGGAGCCCTTCCCGCCTCCGATCAACCACCACCTCCACCTCCGAAAGATACACCGCCGGTGCCAGCGGTCGAGTTTACGCCTGATCTTGCGTCATACTTTACTCCCGGTCATCAGCGACCCGGTTCCATCTACACGCTTTCCCGCGCATCCTTCGCCAATCAGCTAGCTCAACTTACATCACTCCAGCTTCCTGATGCAGAGTCCTTGTCCAGCAAGGTGTCTGCCATCCCGACAGCACAGGTCGCATCGAAAGCTTTGATCAACGCTGCGGAGCAAATTAGAAGTTGGATCTATAAGGCATCAGAGGTTATTGGCGGTCTGGATAGCGATGATGACGTTGAGTGGGCCGCGGCGGGAGGTCGCGAAGGATACGAAGAGGTCGAGAACGCCATACATCGCTTCGAGAAATTGATTAAAGTGTACGTCGGTGCTATCGAAGAACTGCAAGGCCGCGAAGACATTGCCGACGTTCCGCCCGAAGATCTCCATCGCGCCGTCTCCCAAATGGAGTCCATCATCGAGGAATGGGCCAACATCAAAGCAGCACTCAATACCGTCAAAGGACAAGTCGAAATCGCGATGGAGTGGGAGGAACTGTGGAACAGTGTTCTGGGAGACATCCAAAGCGAAATGGACGAACTGAGCCGTCTGGTCTTCGAGATGGAAGAAAGACGCCACAAGTCTTTGATGGCTGCCGCAGGTGGCGACGGCGTCGACATTGGAGACCTCGAGAATATTGTTGAGGATACTCCTCCTCCCGTCGCCAGGATGCAAGCGCAAAACCGCTTCAGCCTACCTGGTCTTCCGCTCAGTCCTGGATCAACGTCTCCAGGAACCCCTACACCCACTTTGTCACAAGATGATTCTAGTCTTCTAGCCCTATTCGCGCGGATGCAACCCTTGCGCGCATCGCTAGACTTCCTCCCTATGCGGCTCGCGGTGTTCGCTGCCCGAGCCGAGAAATCTTTCCCAACTGCTTGTGAGGAATTGGACATGCGACGCACAGGTCTCGATGGCAGTTACAAAAAGCTGGAAAAGGATGCCGAATCACTGCGTAAGGAGCTGGGTGAGGATCGCTGGGTCATTGTCTTTCGCGGAGCAGGACGACAGGCCCAAAAGATGATCGAATCAGTTGAGAGATCGATGATCAAGCTAAGGGAAGCTGTCGACACCGGTATGCATCTGAGCAACCCACCGACAATGATCAAAAAGATCGAGAGTTACGACGCCAAGAAGACGCATTATGGCCCAGCTATCGAGCGAGTTTTGGCCATCATCGACAAGGGTGTTAAGGACCGCTTAACTGTCAATGGCGAAATTCTACGTTTGCATGCCGAGATGCAGGCGAAATGGGAATCGATCAAGGATGAGATGAGAGAGATGGACGTGGTTGTGGACGAAGTTCACGTGGATACCAGAGGCCAGCAGTTGAGGGATTCTATCTCCAGCATGCTGTCAAATGATCGCTCCACGATTGGTAGTGGCCGCGATACTCCCGGCAGCTCCCCTCCTTCCTCGGTAATTATGTCGAGTCTCGGATTAGAGCCAGTCACTCCCAGAAACAAGATGGCCAAGAACCGTTCTGTGAGCACCAACAGTCACTTGCCGCAGCCATCGGGAAGAAGACAGTCGTCGTTGCCAACACCTTCCTCTCAAATGCCTCGCAAGCCCTTGGTACCTCGATTGTCGAACATGACTTCGAGGCTTGGCACTCCATCTGCGGGCAATATCCCCAGACCTGCTTCCACGCAGCCTAATCGGCCCAGGTGGAATGGTTCGACCAACACTACTGATGTTGGTATCGGTCACAACTTCAAACCCTTGACCCTCACCTGCCCTAGCCCCTACGCCAAGAAGACATCGCCAGCCGCCCGTCCATCATCCTCTTTGACCCCGCGATCTTCATCGCCCGGCGGTACGAGGTTGCCAACCCTTCGGAGCCCCCTGACCAGAGATTCATCCGCGTCGCCCATGCCCGAGGACACACCTACGAAGAGAGCCCCATCGAAGTTGTCTTTTAGGGAGCGTCTGGCCTCACCTGGCCCGTATTCTCAGCAGACACTCTCTAAGCCGCGTTTGTCTTCATCTGTCTCTACGTCCGGTCTGGAGTCTCAGTCCAGCCGACGTGCCTCTCTTCAACCACCCAAGCTTCACTCATTTGCCGACAGAGCCGTACCAAGCCGTCCTGCAAGCTCGTTGGCATCGACGCGTCGAACTAGCCAATTGCCACAACTCAAAGCAAGCAGTACGACAGGTGGCATGGAGACCCCTCCAACCCGATCAGTGTCGCGGAATACTACACGCAAGACTCTTCCAGAGCTGTCTAAAAGCACCTCTAGCCAGAAGCCTCGATGGAGGGGCTAGGAGTCTCTTTTATCCAGGCAAAGGAGGGTTTTTAGTTCTCCGTTGGCAACAATTACGCAGCAAAACGAGGCGGTAGCTGAGGTGACAGGCAAACCCCGCTGGCGGACTTGACGAAGCACCAATGGCAGAAACGGAGGACAAGGCTTGAGTCGTTTTCGACTTGCTTTGCCTCGGCCGGATTGGCATCACACCACGATATTGAATTTTGTACATATTCGAATACCCTCTTTCACGGCAGTGCCACTGATTGATCCTACTTTATTTGCTTTATGGCGAGGCGTCGGATTAGGATCCGTCGAGGGGCGTTTGAGTTTTCAATCTTGGGCAGGAGGATACCTGCCTGACGGTCTTTTTAGTATTATACCAGGAGGGGAAACATGGAGTCTGATTTCGGACGAATGTGGGAAGGTCCAATATGATCGTGAGCCATCACCGTCACGATGCACTGCACGGAAACCCCAAGTCGCGCTCCGATGAACCCGAGGCTATACCCTCAAAAACAAACAAAACAAAAGACACCACTTGTATTGCAACGAATGGATCGGACCTCGCGAACGGACTTTATACCCCTCATGACACTGATATCTCACGGGAATGGTGGGATGGGCCGGAGGGCAGGAGACGCGTAGAGGGAGGGTTTAGATAGCTAGCTACGCGAAAAGACGCAAATTGATAATCCGTATTTTCGAGTCCCAAAGTTACTCTCATACATCATGGTCGAATTGGGACTGAGTAAAACCTAGCGCTAGTCTGGTCATGTTATGAAGCAAGAGAATCATTTGCCATAAAGGTTGTGGACATCGGGGAGCATCTTGAGTACGGCAGAGGAATACATGTCTTAATCATTCATGGTCAACATTAAAATGCCAAAATGTGCCTATGCTGCGCCTGAGAGAATGCTTGTAGACCGGGCGACGCCTGCCCCTAAAATCATCATCGTACGGAATCGCTTGCTCCATCGCCGCCCTGAGACATGAAAGGTATAAAACTTCTTCTCCCCCAACTTGTCACGACCGTTTCCCCCCTGCCTCATGAATGTTTGCTTTTCGAATAAAGTGGAGCATGTGTCTTGTGTTCCTGACCCCATCCATGTTTGATGTTCCTCTCGTCCGTTGTATCCCTTTAGGTATGTCTAGTTCCATACCAACACATATATCATATGCTAGCCCGTCTCACCGGCTTCTCAGTGTGGCATTAGCCCGATACCGCTGCCGCCACCGCCACCACCTCTCTTTCCCTTGGAGAAGTAGCTGGTCACGGCGCTGTTTCTCGAAGCTGATGCTCCGCCGCTGCTTCTTCTGTTTGCCCCGCCAGAAGCCTTTTTCTTGGTAACGCCGCCTCCTTGTTTCTTGCTTGCCCATGAGCTGGATCCCTTGCGACCCCCTGATCTCCGACCGCCTCGAGCACCACCACGCCCCCTTGTCGAAGTTGACGATGAGGCTCGGCTCGGAGGCGCCGTATCTAGTTCCTTCATTCGCTGGTTCCATTCCTGGACAGAAGGCGCGAGGGGAGGCGGTCCACTACTGAAATACTTCGAAGATTCCTCTTCCTCTTCCTCATCATCCATGTTCTCGTCTTCGTCGGAGCTAATCAAATCGACGATGCTCTGCTCTTCGGCTTCCATGTCTTCGTCTTCGTCCGCAAAGCTGAGCATTGCCTTGTAATTGCTGTGAAAACGCTTTATCAGGGGCACGAATTTGCTCCCAAACTTATCCACCTTTTCTGGCTCGATCCCTGAAATTTGTCGCATTTGAGGGAGAGTCTCTGTCCACCGGATAGCCATTTCTTGGAAACTCTTCTCGGAAAACAGAGGTTTTCGGAGCCCTTGCGCATTCCGCAGAGACTCCTCGAGCTGCTTAGCCTCCTGGACAAAATTGTGGACGACGTCTTGGTGCAGTTCGTCAAGTGCCCCTAGTCGTATGTCCTCCTCGATACGGGGCCCAACCGGCTTGGAGGCATTCCCACGTTTTCGAGGTGGGGGCAGTGGCTCAAATCCATCGTCAGTTTCATTGTCGGACATGACAAAGCCATCCTTGATGTAGCCGTTTGCGTGTAGCGAAAGACTTTCCTCTGCCATCTCTTGCCTTAGCACCTCGTCTTCCTCGTCAGAATCGATGACGGTCGCAAGGGACTTGCCCTTTGACCTCTTGTCTTGCGTTCTTCGAGCTTGCGCTGGCGAAGACACGTTGGTCGAAGGCGGCAGGCGTCTCCTCGGCGGTTCTTCGTCCAGATCCTGCTCTTCGTTCTTCTTGCTCTTTTGGGTCCGCTTTTTGGGTTTTGGGGCCAATGGTTCCCTATTCCTATCAGAAACCTGGACCGATAACAATAGTTTGCGTCGGCCATTGAGAAACAAGTGGGCGTTGCGACCAGGCTACGAACGTGTTAGATTTATTGAATAGAGCCAGATATAAGCAGTAGAGCAACTTACGATGAGATACTGGATCGCGATACCGGCCCTCTTGTTCACCACATTCTCCTCCTCTAGGGCCTCCTCAGCTGTAAGTCTATCGATGATGCGTTCGAGTTCATGCTTCTTCATCCCCTTTGCGATACCATGAGGATCGTCAGGATGCGGATCAATTGTCTTTTGGTACTTCTTTCCCATCAAGATTTCACTGCACTGGTTTATAGTCAGGCGCTCGTGAAGTTGAATGGTCTGTATAGCTCCAACGGCAAGTTCAGAGAAGTCTTGCTGCTCAAAGACAGCGCCTGCTCGACAGTTGTCGCAGGTCTTCTCGCACTCGTCAGAGTTGAACTGTTCGCCAAAGTAGCGAAGAATCTCAACGCGGCGACAGTCTTCCCGGTTGTCGCAAAACGCAGTGACTCGATTGAGCATCATTCTTTGCCGTTCTTTTTGTGCCTCGCTTCCTTCGCCCTGCGAAATCATCTTCTTCAGTGTGGCTACATCCTGATAACCGAAATATAGAATGCAGTCCGAAGGATTGCCGTCTCTCCCAGCGCGCCCTGTTTCTTGGTAGTAGCCTTCCAAGCTCTTGGGGATCGAATGGTGAATAACGAAACGGACGTCAGGCTTATCAATGCCCATGCCGAACGCAATTGTCGCTACAACGACATGGATCCTATCCGCTTGCCATTCCCTCTGTACTCTGATTCTGTCCTCAGGAGTCATCTGCGCGTGGTAGTGACTTGCTTTGACGCCATACTGAGAACGCAGCTTCTCGGCGACTTGCTCTGCAGTTTTCCTTGACAAAGTATAGACGATTCCACATTGTCCGTCGTACTTGGACATAATCAAATCAGCGATCTTGTGGATCAGTTCCTTCTCTTTCCGTCGAACCTCATACGTGAGATTTGGGCGATTGAAGCTCTGGCTGAAGACCTGGCAGCTGTCCATGCCTAGGTTATGCTTGATGTCGACAATGACGTTCTGAGTCGCTGTGGCCGTAAGTGCAATAATGGGAACAGTAGGAAAGTGGTTGCGAAGTTTGCCTAGTGCCTTGTAGTCTGGTCGAAAGTCGTGACCCCATTGACTGACACAATGTGCCTCGTCAATTACGATTCGTGCGAGCCGCTTGTTGGAGTAAAGACTGGTCAGGGCCCTCATGAAGTTGTCACTGTTATTCAGCATCTCCGGCGTGACGTAGAGCAGCTGGATGTAGAGTTCCGGGCTCCTCTCTTTGAACGAAGAGAAAATCTGACTTCGCTTCTGGGAACTCGTCTCGCCATTGAGCGAAACAGCTTGAATATTGACAGCTGACATGTGATCCACCTGGTCTTGCATAAGACTAAGCAGAGGGGAGACGACAATCGTAATTCCCCTCGTCTTGCCGCTAGTAACAATAGCTGGAAGTTGGTAGCAAAGGGATTTACCGCCGCCGGTTGGCATCAGCACGAAAGCATCTTCGCCTCCGAGTGTGGCGTTGATAGCCTCAAGCTGATTAGAGCGAAACCCTCTCATCCTGAATCTGTCTTTCAAAGCCTTCCTCACGTCTGCTGACCAAGGGTGTTTCATCAGCTCTGGTGGCATTGACAACTTCGCTTTCGAAGGCTCTCTCTTCTTCAGTGGTTCGACTGCCTTCAAAGGCTGAACAGCATTGCCCGATGTCGAAGTCAGTGCACTGCGGCCTCTCGTTGTTTCGGCAGACGAAGACTGCCGAAGCTCGAAGTCGTGAGCCAGTGCAAGCATGTCCGCGTCTGCATCATCGCCGTAGTCGCTGGACATGTCTTGAGCACAATGACCCGCTTTCTTGGGAGGACTCTTTCGATTTGGTGTTGGCCTAGACACAGGTGGCGGGGGAGGAATGAATGCGCCGTAATCGTCTTCAATATCATCGAAGAATTCATCTTCGAACTCATCGCGTCGACGGGGCTTGGCACTTGGTGCAACAGGTTTCGCACTCCTTGGAGCTGCCGGTCGACTCCGGGGAAACGGCGGCGGCGAGTGATCTCTTGGGTCAGTAAGCCTTGACGACCCGGGGAACTGTGTCTGGTGAATGACTTGACTATCCATTTCCGTGAGTCCTGGTATATCCCTGGATGCCCTAGAAGACATTTTGTGGCCAGGCTGCGTGCTCATGACCACGGACTTGGATCTGCGGTATTCTTCGATGAAGGTTTCGTCCACTATGCCGACACCAGGGAGAAGTTCATCGATGGACTGCTCCAAATCTTTGACTTTGTCGGCGATTTCATCTAAGCGGTTCTCTTCCTCTTCAGTATCGCGACCTTCGCTGTATGCATCGGCAATCTGCATTGCGAGAGACTCTCTCTCATCTTCAAGTGCCGCATGTGCATTAAGCAGCTCAGAAACTTCCTCCAGCCCAGCCTGTTGTTTCAGCAACAATTCCTTTGCGATCTTAAGTTGGGCACGATCTTCTTTAGTGCCTTCTCGTAAGACCCTGGCATAGTCCTTCAGGTTCTGATCGCGCTGGTCTTGAATCATCTTCTCCCTAGCCTTGAGGGAGTCTCTGTTATTTAGAATGAACTTAAGCACAGCAGACTTTTGCGTTTGTGAAGAGGTGCTTTGCTGGGACGTGGAA